GCCACCTCGCCCGGCTAGTTTTTTGTATTTTTTAGTAGAGACGGGGTTTCACCGTGTTAGCCAGGATGGTCTCGATCTCCTGACCTCGTGATCCGCCCCTCTCGGCCTCCCAAAGTGCTGGGATTACAGGCTTGAGCCACCGCGCCCGGCCTCCAACGTCTCTATTTTTAAAAAGAAGTCCGGGCACGGTGGCTCACGCTCATAATCCCAGAGTTTTGGGAGGCCGAGGTGGGAGGATCGCTTGAGCCCGGGAGTTCAAGACCAGCCTAAGCAATATAGTGAGACCTCGCCTATACTAAAAGTTAAAAAAAGAAAAAATAAAAAAGCCAAGCGTAGTGGCGCGCTTCTGAGTAGTCCTAGCTACTTAGGAGGCTGAGGTGGAGGCAATATAGTGAGACCTCGCCTATACTAAAAGTTAAAAAAAAAAAAAAAAATAGCCAAGCGTAGTGGCGCGCTTCTGAGTAGTCCTAGCTACTTAGGAGGCTGAGGTGGAAGGATCGCTTGAGCCTGGGAGGTGGAGACTGCAGTGAGCCGAAATAGCGCCACTGCTCTCCAGTCTGGGCGATAGAGTCTCAATAATAATAATAATAATAATAAAAAGTGGGGGTCTGGGCGATAGAGGCTCAATAATAATAATAATAGTAATAATAATAATAATAACAACAATAAAAGTGGGGAGTGAAGCGTGCTCACGCAGGGGCTTGTAGTTTGGGAGTGGGACCGCGTCAGTGTGGCTATCCGGGTTCTGGGTAGGTGGGGAAAGGGGTGGCTGAAGGGTGGGCGCTGCTGTTGAGCGTCTCCCGTAAGTGCCGCTAGGTGGCGCTCGAAGCCCGCGTCACAGAGAAGAGTGGGCCGGCTTGGAGACCTGAGAGGGCTGCGGGAAGAAAGAGCCTGGACCCTAGGATCCTCACCGAAACAGCGGGATGGCTTGGGTACACGGGGCCTATGGGGCAGCCATCGTTCTCTGGAGGCTTAAAGGGGGCGAGGTGAAGAGGGAGGGCAAAAGCGTGGCAGTCGCTGCGAGGGAGAGAGGAGGCATCCCCCCGGCCTTCCCCAGGACCTGGAGGGGTTGGAGCCTGTCATCGGCACACCTGCCTCTCTGGATTTATGGATTCGGTTCTGAGGCTGCTAGAAGAATTCGGGGTCTTAGAGGCCACATTTGGCTCAGGAGTCAAACATACAAGGGCACGCTCATCTGTTTTTCTCCCAGGATATGCGGGTCTGTGTATGAGCAGCTGCTCTGGGCTTGCGACTGGGAGGACAGAGGGTGTGGACCCCCGCGTCCCGGGGCTCCCTTCCTCGCTCTTCCTTCGGACACCCACAGCAGCTGCTCCTGAAGAATCTGCCCCCAAGTTTCGAGGAACTGCCCCCCTCAGCGCCCAGGAGGAAAGGGGAATGGGACTGTAAACGTGTCTAACTCAGACCCGTTCCCCAGATCGGAATTAGTTTCTTGCGAACACCCCAACGCCGCGGGCCATTCTCTGCCTGGGGCCTTTCCTGGACGGATCAGTAGGGCCTCGCCTGGCTTCCACAGCACCTGCAAATTAGATACTCTGATGCCTCAAACTTGTGGGGTCCTGCCTCCAGCTCATCCCCCTCTCCTGAGGCTTGGCCTGAAGGCCCCGTCCCTACCACTCCTCCTCACCCCCTGAATTCAGTCGGGGGCCTGTGTGGAGGGAAAGGAAGACCTGGAGAGACCAAGTGGCTGCACTGCCACCGCGCAGGCGTGGATCCTGCCTGGCCGCCGTCTAGGAACTGCAGATCCGAGAAGGGGCAAAAGCCGCCGGCGCCGGGGTCAGGTCTGGCGGACCCGAGCTCCTTGGTGAGACCTGGGTCCACCGTCTTCTCCCTCAAAAGCAGAGGGTGGCAGCGGGGAAAGGATGCGTTCCCATTGAGGGGGAGATGGAAGACTGGAATCAGAGACTGAAGGAGGCGGGGCATGGGACCCCGGAAGACGCCTCCCAGACGTTCCAGGCCTGCTTGCCCAGCTCCGGAGGTCTTAGCAGCATCATCGAAGGTTGCCAAATACCTGGGAAGGGGGTAGGTGAAGCGTGAAAGGACTCTGGGTTTCTCTTTGGGACTGCAAAGTCCCCTCAACTCTCCTGGCCCTCCCATCCGCCCCCAACTCATGCCAGCGTGGGGTAGCCCAGAGCCTAGCACACTGAGATGTGGGAAAGTGTGGGTCTGCCCAGTGGGTGGCCTCGACAGAACGAATCTGAGGTCCTAGGAGGACCTGGGAGACGTGAAGGGTTGGGTATCTGCCGCCCCAAGGTGGGGCCACCCGCTTCGAAGCTTTGGCTCTGCGGGCGGCGCGGCCTCGCGCGGAATCTAGCCAGCCCCTGAGAGTCCCCGCCCCTTCCCTGAGGCCGGAGGTATTAGTGCTGCTTGATCAGACCTCATTTCCTGCGAAAATGGAAACATATCCAGGGTCCTTAATAAAGTGAATGACGAGGCTTCGGTGTAATTGGGCTTCCGTTTGGTGGCTATTTCCTTAAACTGACAGTGGAAAAAAATGTAAACTCACAGCGCTCAGATGTAATTATATGATTATCAAAAGGAGTGCAGGATGGATTAGCTGAGCAACGACCTAGAGTCTGAGAAATGGGCAGGCACAAATGCTTACCCAGACCAAGGGACCCAGAAGTCCCGGACTTCCACACCAGCCCCGCATTCAAGCGCGCGCCTCTGAAACCTTCGGCCTCTCCTGCCAGCCAAAGACCCGCCCTGCCGTTGCCATCGGGATACGCGGGATCTTTATTTATACACTGGGGTGGGGGTGGGCCTTTTCCTTCCTCAAAGAGGAGGAGCGTCCTCTAAGGCAAGGGGCGGCCTGGCTACGAGTCCCCTGACCGCCCGCCCAGCCCGCGTGCGCTGGCTGCATATTTCTATGCATAATCCAATTTCCTCCGTGACTATCTAGTTAAACTCTTTAACAACAGCTACATAATTAGAATTTGGATTCCCATTAATTTTCCTTGGGCCTCGAACCATTTGCAGCTTACACTGGTAATTAATGCGATACATCACTAACTTTACCCAGCGCAGGCCGGCCCGGCTCAGGTCGCTCGGCCAGCGCCTGGCGCCCTCGAGCTGGACCCTGACTCCGGACCCTGCTTCCCAGGTGGGAGCCGTTTTCCTCTTTCCAAAGCCAGATGCCTCGGGCCCGCGAACCAAAAGCCTTCTTCCCAGGAAATTTCACAATTAAAAATATTTATCGGGAGCAGATTTACGTTTCTGGGTTTCCAGTCTCGGGGCGTCTGGGTAGGCTATTAAGAGTAATTAGCATCTTTTGCGCATGCAGATTTACTTCGCTCATTGCCACATAACTCATCCCTAAAAGCCGGTGCAGGCGAAAGTAGGCTCCGCCGCCGGAGCCGCCGCCACAGCTACCGCCGCTGCCCGTGCGGGCCCCCCTGCCCTCCTACACTGCCGGCTCCCAGTCTCCCGGCCCGAGTTGTCTGCTCCAGGCCCTAGAGGATGAACATGGAACGAAAAGGCTTCCATTCTGGAGACCTGGAGACGAATGACGCCAGAGCGACCTCGTGAGGCGGGGGAAGGCCCAGACCAGGCTGTCCTGGCTGGGGCCGCGCCGTCTGGACCCCAGGCATTGCGACCACGCGCGTGTGTGCACCACCGAGTGGGCGCTTCTGTGTGTGCACGCTCACGTGCGAGCGAGTGCACATGAGTATGGTTGCTAGTGCGCGTTCCTGAGAGCGCGAGGGGGCGCGTGTAAAACGAGCTAATCACCATTCCTCCCCTTCCCTGCAGCCCACCGGTTCCCAGGACGACGCTCAAACGTCAGTCCTAGGCCACCCAGCTAGGACACTGAGTTTCAGAGGGAGACTCGAGCCCCTACCTTGCCTCGAATTCCCTTCTACAGAGCCAGTTCCATCCAGCCAAACGGCCTGGAGCACTCAGCGCTCAACCGGGGGCACTGGGAGGCCCAACGCCCGGCCGCAGCTGAGCGCACGGCTGGCCTGGTACCGGTGAGAGGCCGCCAGAGAAAGCGCAGGCAGAGCCGGGGGTCACTGAATACTTGCAGGGCCGCTGGGGGGCGGCCGGAGACGATGAGGCCACGCGGCTGAAGGGGTTGGGGGTGAGGAGTGGTGGTGGGGGTGGACAAAGGGACAACGTGGCGGTGGACGAGCCAAGGCCAGAGAGGGCCGCTGTGGCTCCCTCTCCTCCGGCCGAGGCACCCGCCACCGGTTTGTTATTAACGCGCTGGGAAGTCCGCAAGCCGCCCAACTTTCTTCTCTTTAATGAGCCTAGAAGAAGAGGCTGCCCTGAAGGGGTTTGTTCATTAAAGATGTAGCTGGAGGAATATTGTCTCATTAATTATCTGGTTTTAATTACACTCCTACCCTTTGAATCCGGAGATGGGAAAAGTTGATTTGGTGGCGCCGCCCCCTTTAGCTTAAGGGGTCTGCCTGGCTAGGGGACCGGGAGGGGCTGCATGGGGACTGCTTGCTCCTGGGAGGGTGTGGGCAGGCATCTGGGGTATATCCAGCAAGAATCCCTTTGCGACGTGTCTCCATGCCTGGGTGTATGTGTATGGACCTCCGTGCATCTGAGTGTGTGTGACCACGTGTGGCTGAGAGGCCGTGTAGACGTGACTTGGGTGTCTATGTGTGCTCCCCGCCTGTGTGTAGTTCTGTGTCTGGGTGTACATACGGGTAGCTGAGTGTGTCTATAGATAGGCCCGAGCAGGGGTCTAAGTGAACAGCAATGTGATTGGGTAACTGTGTCTGCGGTGTCTAAGACGGTGGCTTCCTGCCCGTCAGCTCAAGTGACAGTGACCTCATCTCTGGGTCTCCGCATATATTCCCATGTAGATGAATGTTGTGGGGCGGTGTGGGAGTCCATGGCTGGGGCATCCCAGGAGCTGGACTACTCCAAGGACATGGCTTGGTTCCGAGAGTCCCCAGAGCTGGGACGCCACCGGGAAACTATGGTCCTGGAGGGGAGGGAGATATTTGAGGGGGTGCTTGTCCCTGCCTCGTCCCTTGTCAGGCCCCGCAGAGCGCTAAAGCGGGGGCTGTTTTCCCTTTAAATCGCGGACACTTTGACAGGGGACATTAAGGACCCGGCTGCTCAGGCTGAGCAGATCATAAAACCGGACAGGCAATTTCTGCTCCCGCCAAATAGCCGGGCAAACTCGTTCTGCATCTTTGGTTTTAATGCACTAAACTGGCAGCTAAGCAGGGAGCGAGCAAAGGGGGGGTGGGAAGCCCCCCCAACATACACGGGTGCACACACCGGCACAGGCGCAAACACCCCTTCACACCCTTGGGCCCCATGCCCCGCCCTGCACCCCCCCACCGGCGGAATTATCAACTAGAATTTGATTAATATGCAAATCGCAGGCAAACAGCTCCATATAATTCTTTCAGTGGAGAGTAATTAATCACCAGTTAAAGCAAATTAATACATATATCAATTTTGTCAGAAACATGCTTAGTTCAATCGCCCGTAAAATTGAAGTTTGAAGTATTAAGAGGCTCTGCAGAAACGCCAGGACTAAAACTTTCAAATTGATCCTATTTAGTAATCAATCAGGCTCTCCCCTCAGGTTAATCTGCCTAATTTTTCATCTCAAATCATACACTTTACTGACACACCATCTAGCAAACAGTCGATAAAAAGTTAACAAAAATGATAACGACTCCAGCCAGAGTCATTGTGCAAGGCGGGTGGGCGGCCACAGCTTTGATTGCATTTCAGGGTGGTCGGGGACTTGGTTTTTCACTGGGGCACCGGTTTGGGGTTTCCCCAGACAGAGGAAGCCTCCCTTCCCCACCAACTCCTGTCTGCTACTGTCTGCCATCTCCGCAAATGGACTCTTCTCAGAACATCAGAACATGAGCAGCATTTCCATGGAAGTCACCTAAACCAGCTAGTCCCTGCCCCACTCCCGTGTTTGCATAAACTGTCAGGAAGCCGGTGCCTTGTGTGCTTGTGGCAACTGTGAGCTGTGCCTCTGTCACTTGCCTGTATTGTATGTGTAAAGTGGGGATGGTGTGTATGTTTAATGGCAAAGGTTTATCTGTTTAATTCTTATGTGTGCTACTAGCTGCCCGTATTTGGGCAGGTTTGCTGTGTCTTATGTGACTGCAATGTGTTTTCCAGGCATCCTGTGTGTCTGTGGGTCACTGTGGGTGGGTGTGTATTGGGTTTCTACAGTGTTGATCTATGTAAGTGGGTGCCTGCCTTGTGTGTGTGGATTGTTTCTGGGGTATGTCTGTGTTGGGTGTGAGCCTGTGGGCCTGTCTGGGCTTACCCTTTATCTGCATGTGGACATGCAGGCCCAGGGAGACCTCAGGCAGATGGATCAATAGGCCCCATTATAGACATCAGGAGAGAGGAGACAGTCCCTATAGAGACCCAGGCACTTCACCTTGAACAGCCTCTGGTAGATGAAAGGGGTCACCTCTGCCCTACATTGGTCCCTATCCCAGCCTCTGGGTTGGCAGAGGTGTGTGAGAAAGGGGAGAAGAAAGCTCTCATTTCTTGTTGGAGGAGCCTCCCAACTTGGATCTCCCTTTCTGAAGAGCCTTGGGCCCCTGAATTTGGGAAGGGTTGGGGTGTAGACACTCAGGAATGCCTCCATCCCATGTGCTCACATGTCACGTCCACACTCAGATCTGTTGGTTACATGGATACCCTCAGATAACCAAGCTCCCTTCCCTACTGCATCCACCACCATTCACAGACAAATAGCCATATCCAGCTGTCCATGGGGAAGCCTGAACATGCCCATATGCACACACCAACGCACAGCAATCCTTGCACACAGGTGCACACAGACAAACCAGATTCCAAAGTGAGCAGGACTCATTCACTCCCAACTCTGCTTGCAGCCATGTGCATATTGCCATTTGTACCCTCCCTAGTTTGGGCAGGCCTGAGCACCCCCAGGAAGGAAGAACTTCCTTTGACTGAGCTGGGGGAAGCTAGGCCTTCAAGCGCTACCTGGAACTGGAGCAGCCAAGGGCAAGTCTACAGGTCACTCCAAAGACAAAGGTTCAGTCCGGTGACCAGCTTGAATGAGAGAAGGCAGGCAGGGCAGCCTGGCCATCACCCAACTGCACAACAGAGGATGCCCTACCCCTACAACCTGTTTTTAAAGAAGCAGAGTCCATGCCTATATAGTGCCTATTCAATGGCCTCAGCTGCCCTCAGAATAGACTTCAACCCAGGCTGAAAGTTCTCCATCCCATCTTCTGCTTAGTCCTCTCCTGAGTTGTCTTCCTGTCAGGCCACATGCTCCCTGCCCCCAGCATTGTACATGTAAATTTCAGTAGCCAGCTTGGCCAAAATGTTTGGAGCCAGGATTCTGGTTGTCTGCCTGTAGCTTCAATTCCACATCAATATTCATTCTCCCAGTTATCTGCTCACACCAGCTTCCTGCATACGTCACATACCCTGGGTGTCATTTACCTGCTGGTCACACCCACTCAGTGACAGCTTTACTCTTTTCCTCTCTGTTGAGCAAATTTAGTCATACCTAGCTGCACATACTAGTTTGCAACAATCAGTTGTAGGAACGCAGCATCACACACCCAGTTCCACGCTCGCTTTCCATCAATCAGCCGCACATGCTCAGTTTCTCAGTTGCACATACTTGATGACACACTCAGGAACGTGCCCTTGCTAGTCTCCATGCAGCCTGCCACACACACACCCGCAGCCCCAAATCTCTCCCAGAACTGGCAGCTGTTAGGAGAAGACAGGGTGATTTGCAGATGGCAACCCTGGACTTGCGAGTGCAGATGTGGGGTCCCAGGAAAACTCAAGGTGGGAATTCTCCTCCCTCCAGGGTGCTGGTCCCCAGGAACCCCCACCTTCCTTTGCTCCAGTCCCAGGAGCCTGTCCTCTAGGAGATTTGGCCTGTGGACACACCCAGGGGTCAGATTCCAGGCTCTCCAAGACCTGTCAGCGTCTGCCAGGGACCTCCACTCCGCACATGTACAGTCCCAGGGATGCAGTCATTTCCCATACACCCCTTTGCACACCTATAACCTAACCACCACTACCCAGCACACCCAGTTCTACTCCCCTCCATTCCCACCCACTTCAAAGCCACAGTATGTCACTTTACAACAGCAGCCTCCTACTCGCTGGCCCTCATGACTCCAGCCCATTCAGGTTCTCTGTCCCTTCTTCCACATGCTTTGTAGCCCCTGACCTTACCTACCCTGCCCCCTTATCTGGCTGCCCTCTCTATATTCCTGGGCTTTCTATGGTACCCTCTCAGATGCATGCGTTTGGGGAGCATACGTATTGTCCCCACAAATCACTTTCTGGGCTCCAAGAGGGGTAGTTGTTGCTTGTGGGAGCCAAGCCCAGGTGCCTCTGGGTTCAGGTGACTGGAAAAGCCAAGGCGGGGTGAGTGGACTTCCCTGGACCTGGCGGCTCAGAGGGATGCGAGGGGGGGGCCCGCGGCGACGGGTAGGGGCGGAGGGGAGGCGCGCGGCCCCAGCCCGTCCCTTTCAGGGGGGACTCATGCATCAAACTTCAATTTTCCGGACGATTGAATTAGTGATTTTTTTTCTCCTGAACTAAAATACACTTAAGTCTTTGGGATTAATTACCACGTTCTGGTCCCTCAGACTGGAGTATTACTTATCAGAGCTGCGTCTGACACCGGCCCGACACCTCGTAAAATAAGGAACTGCGCCTCCCGGCCTCACCCCGCACCGCCCGTCAGGCCACCAAGCCGGGAAAGGCGGAGCGAGGGGAAGCCGAACAGGCGGGATCGGCCGTCCGCGCGCCGAGGGGTTCCCAGACTGGAGAGCAGAAACTGCTCGCGTCCTGGGACTTGGCAAGCCCCGCTGAGCCCCAGGACACAACGGGGAAGGGAGAGACAAAGCCGAGCCGCCTCTCCTGGCCAGCCGGGAACAGAAAGTGGGTCCGTAGAGAGCCCAGAGTCCTGGAACAGATGGGCAAAGGGCTCTAGGCGGTGATGGAACTTGGGCCCGAAGGACAGGCAGCCCAGAGGATACCAAGCCTTAACGAACTACGCCAGAATAATGGGCGTAGGGCCCACAGCACCTCACACAACCCAGGCCACGCTCACTCGTACACTCAGACCAGGAGAAGAAACAGACACGCAATACACAAGCCCCGCTCCCTTGGAGCCTACACATGGGAGAACACGCCACAAACAGCAGTATCCCGAGTCAGGCCCGGCGGGCGTGGGCTAAGAGGCCTCCGGCCTGCACTTGGGGTTTGAGGCCCTCTCACATCGCGGGTCCCAGCGGCAGCGCCCGAGGCACGACCAAGGCCATCCGAGGCCCCCGGGCCGCGCGCAGGTAGCAGACTTCTTCAGAACTGGGGGAGCTAAGGAGAGAGTGGGCTTACAGCCCAGGCCTCCCTGGATCCCAGACCCTCGCCTCCGCCTACAGCCAAGCCCCTCAGCCTTTGCCCAGGGCTGCTGACTTCCTCGCCGCCTCCCTGCGCAATGGGACCTAGAGATAAGCCCCAAGCCCGGGTGCTAGTCCAGGCAGTGTCCAGTGCTAGTCCAGGGCCTCAACAGAGCTGTCGGCTGGGCTCCGGAAGCCCACCCAGAACTTGATGGAGGCAGCGAATCCCTCAGAGCAAAGGACACTGCGGAGTGGCTCGAATCCACTTCCCACATTGTGCGGGACCGAGTGCGCAGGGCGCTCTTGTGTGGCCTCCGTAGCTCGAGTTCAGCCGAGGCTCGCACGTACACTTCGTTCCCCCTTCCCTCCGCCGCAGCTCTGGTCGTTCCTTCCGCTGGCCCTCTTTTCTGGCCTATGGAAACAACGAATTACTTCTCGCCTTGGGCCCGGGTCCCAAGCCACCTCCTCTGTGAAGCCCCCAACACCCTGGTAGCCGCCTCTCAGTGTTTTGCAACTAGCACGGCCCTGTCCCTCGGTTAGCTTCTACTAGCGCTGGGGGTGCTGCGAGTCTTGCCCACTAGACTAGGAGCTCCTTGAGGGCAGGAACCGGATCTGATTCGTTTCAATTCTCCCAGCCCCCTGCGCGGCCTGGCGCGGAAAAGACGCTCAAAAAACATTTGCTGAATTGAATTGCGTTTTCTCCTTATTTTATTAATCCTTCCCCTTCCTTCTTTCATTCTTTCTTTTCCTCCTTCCTTCCTCCCTCGTTATTTTTTATTTCTTGGTTATATTCAATTGTCATGTTTTTCAGGCTCATTAAATCCATTTAGAGACAAAAGAATAAAAGGCAGAAGGGGAAGGGCGGGG